TAAATGAGATAGAGTGTGGTGATAGATGCCAAAACCGTCCAGCTCAGAGAATAAAACTCCATCAAAGTCTTCCACATGAATTATAGATCTCCATCATCTCAAAATAAGCAATCTGTAATTCACTTATTTCAACAATAACCTATTTGTGGGTTAGAACGACATGAAATATAGAATAAATAAATAAGCAAAATATGTAATTAAGATAATCGTTATTTCACTTCATAGAAGTAGAGAAGAAACAGTTTCACTATCGGACAATCAGTTAATTTCACTAAAACTCATTGAACAGAGTATAGTTTGAATGTTCATGTTATGAAGTACAGTTTGAATTGTTAAATGTGGTTAGTTAGTGAATTATTTCTGAAATCAGCTTGCCCATGAAACGGTTTCTGCAGGCTTTATAATCGACTGTAAGTGTGTATAGGACTTCGTAATGAGAAATGAATTTCTAAGTGGATATTGACAAGAATTAGAAGTAATGCATAGTTAAAATACTAAACTGTTCTCTGAAACAGTTAAATATCATGATTAGGTTTTATGTCTAAATGACTTTTATTTATAGCTCATATGATTAAAAGACTTTTAGTTAAATAGGCAATAAAAAGTATTAAGTATTGAACTGATGCTTTGTAGTGGCATGGAACGTTTAACGATTGAAACAACTGATACTTCAATAGGAGTCGATCTTATGGCCAATAAGTTGACATCTAGTTGTTTATATTCCTACATTCAGTCAACTGGCAGTATGGCGCAGTTTTCGTTCCTTACCAGCGCTGATCATTGTTAGGATCATGATTGCACCATGCTGACTAGTTGCATACTTGGATGAAATAACATTCTAGTGCTTATAGTTTTTCAGTGACTGTTGAACTGAAGCCAGCTTGCGATACAAACTACTGAGTGTACAGTCACCACTAACGTCATGAACTTGGACCTGTCAGTTGAATCACGTGAGGAGGAATCTTGGATGCACAGTGCTGAAGTGTCTCACAAAGGACCAAAACGGCCGGCCAGCGCTTCCAGGTTTTCCATGGTGGTCCAGTTTAAACTGACTGATGAATTCAAGTACAAAGGTACTATACGTGATTCACGAATAAACATGCTGACTTTCAGGCTGTTTATAGAATTCATTCAGATCTATCATGATTATCTTATGCTTTCTGGGTTTTAATCATTGCCTAAATACGTTTATTCAAAAATCTGATAATATTCAAAAATTCTCACAAATTATTAGTATAGGGTTTTTGAGATTAATAAGTTATTGGTTGAGGTCATGAAGCGTTCGATGTTAGACCACCAGAGTGAACATCAACACTAAGATGCAGGTACTTGCAGCTGACGAGTCCCAAATAAGATGAAACGCGCATTTTGGTTTCCAGTGCTTGCCACTATCCTTCTTTGATCGTAAAACTCCTCGTTTCTTTAATGACACAAAAGTATTTCTATGTTCGTTCGGGAGTATCAATTCATAAGTGTGTGTGTGTTTGTTCTAATCATTTTTTAGCAAGGGATTAAGGGGATTATCGAATTTCTCGAAATCATGAGTCTATTCGGGCTGGACGGTCTTTGAAAACCTGATAACACTGAAAGGTGGTTTGGTCGTAGCATACGATTCCTCAGCAGTGAGCGTTCATGACGTTGACACAGTGGTGTGAATGTTTAATATGAATCACTATGAGATTTTTGTTTAGTTACAATACAGTGATTGATCATTTGAACTGTAATGTATGAACATGGGTGAATGACATGTAAACAGTTAAGTTGTCAAATCAGAACCTACAATGACAGCAGTGGAGTGTACGTCAGAATTCGCGTATAGAAAGAACAAATATCATAGGAGAATAACATTGAATTCATTGATGGTGCGAGTTCCCTCTAGCTGCTTACAACCTCAAGTCAGTAGTAGTATTTATTATTAGAATAATTTGATTTACAAGGTGAGGATGTAATAACATTAAGAAAACATAATACGCAAAAATTGAAAACTTTTGTGAGCAACTAAGAAGAATCCATAAAATCAAGAAATTAATGTTATTCTTCTACGATATTTTTCCTCCCTTATTCCAGTTAATAAGTGGGATAAATCGCGTGAGATAAATTAGATTCTTCACAGTGTTAACTAACTATAACCTAACTATAACCTAGACCTTCAATCAATCCTTAAACCACTGGATGACTTTTTTGTCCTAGGACGAGACTCCTCAGCATTGGGAGTCCACGAATGACTAGATTCTAGACAACTGAGCTGGCATTCAACGCTGTTTAAGTCTATCTCCTATCAATCTATGATCTTACTCAACCCTTCAACCGTTGTCTGGGGTGGATAACTGATTTATGCTTGACACGGATGAGCACTTTCGAGGAGATAGTCGTCCAGTGCTTTGAGGTTTTCAATGATTGTAAAAAGAAATTTGACTGGCTGTCTTTCTCCCTATTTCCAATTTGATTCTGATTATTTTGTCATAAAACACTACTGTCTGTGCTTCTTACCAGTGTGGTATTTGTAGATCACGAAGAATTGAAAATTGTCATGCTTCGTATTTTATTGCCCGAATCTTAAAATATCATACCCTTATTGACTTTATCTCTCCGTTTCATATCGTCAAATTAGAAATCACCTCCGAGACTGAATTAATCAGTTATGTTTATCTATATTTACTGATGTGTGTGATTCCAACCTTACCATTATAACGGTAGATTTTTGATAAACGTCGGTGCTTGTTATCGATGGTTCGCAAAACCGTCTGTATGGACGACTGTTTTCTCAATTCACGTCTATCATTTTGCAATTGAACGATGCACGTACCACCGCTAAATGTAATCCTGTTGCGTCATAACGTATTCAGTTCAAGGCAGTTATCAGCACTTTCATATGTATCAGTATTCGATTGTCCTGTCACCTGACTAACCCAATGTTCAAATTTTTGTCAATGGCATATGGTTGAGGAACAATTGCCTATACTCTGATCGTATCTGGTATGTGATGTGTCTCCGTCTGTCTTTTCGCTCAGTGAGTAATCGGTTGTTCACCCGCACTTGACTAGTTATCTGACAAACATAGCAGGAGAACGGCACTTCACACACCAGAGAGATGTATGCGATAAGGCTACAGTTGTTCTCAATGTTCATTTACTTCCCGATAGTGAGTTGGTGAAGTCTGCAACAAGAATATGGAATAGTATTCTGGCAGCGGTTCTCCTGGTACAAAAATTTCATTTTTAAAGTCTTCAAGCCACAACGAGGTGACATTGAAATAGTCATATAGACTGGAATGTTCCGAAGACATACTTCTGCACAACGAACACCAGAATTATTTTTCAAAGGACTGTTAGCTTTTCGTTCTTATTTTCCGTAAGAAGAAGCACTGATCAAACAAATCGGTTGAGTTTTTTCGGGTAAAGAAGAACTGGTAGTAGCCAGCACTACTAACTGAGTGTGTTCAGTCAGGTAATAGTTGTCGTTTGCCAAAACACCGTTGACACAGTTCTTCTAGATAGACAGTTTGTTAGCTGCGTATTTACCTACCTCTGCATGTGATCAAAGTCAATTACCTGTGACTCCCTTGCTAAATCACTTTTACTTAAGAGACTGATTCATGTTGTTTCGTCAAAACACCTTTCAATATGGGAAATGCCATGACATCAGCAGTACTGGGACAAACTAGGTATATGCTTAAGGGTCTTAGCTCCAATTTCTGGACGGGTCAGTCATTTCACCTTCTTCCGATATTCTGTATACCCGTTATTTAGAGCGCTGTTCGAAAGATATGGGACAAGCGATTAACAGTCTGAATTAAAATCTCAATCTCAAGTATCGTCTTGTACTCACTGAATAACCTGTCTACACACAGATATTTTGGGATGTTTGTCTGACAAATTTATCTCATTGAAGTTGGACGCTTCTGTTTTGACTGAGCATATCTGTTTACGTAGGTGAATGGTGGCTCATACATACCTAACAATCAATTAATAAACGCCCATTCATTCATCCTTACTGTCCTTCCAATCGCTTGGATGGAGAGAAATATCGCATTAGATTAATCTTATGTAACAGTAATGTGTGGTGTAACGTGGTTTGATTGTATGGCGAGCGAGCCTAATTGCAAAGATGTTCAACCAACCAAGCAGTATGATGTTAATCTGAATGAGTTGGTGATAAGAAGCTCTCACGTCAATGCTGTGATATAATTTTCACTCATATGGTCAAGCCACACCATCTCGATGATATTTCCACATTAAACAAGTAATTACCGGAAGAAGCGAGTATAGATTAGTGTGTTTCCCCTCAGATTACAATGATAAATATACTGTGAAATGTATATATGGACGAGTCACGAAATCGATCCGAGGATTCAAATTTAATACCCGTAAAGAGCGTTTGAGAGCAATGAAATTTTATTCATTAGCGCATGAGCATCTGAGACGTGGCTTTTGAGTGACATCACACTAACTTTCAAAGGGGGTTGACCCAGCGAACCTTCAAGCTACCGACCGGTACTAGGACCTATTCTTTTCTTGATTTATATGAATGATTTTTCACAACATCTATCGCCAGAAACCAAAGGCAATACACGAAATCAGTTCGGGGACTCAAATTCAAGCGGTATGAATAACGCCTCTATTCACTGAACATTTACCAACAATATATCAGAACGGACTGTAGATAAAATTTCTACTCCTTAAGAGTTGTCCAGTGCTGGAATTCACTAGTCCAAGCAACTTCACAGGAGTTCTTTTAAGAGGCAACTTGTACTAAAGATCAAAACTTAATATTATTTATCGATTTTTTTTAACCTCTATTATCGTTAACATATCTAAGTTCCTGCCTGAAAGTATTGACGATCCACTGCTTCTAGTCTCGGAAGCTTCTTAAGCAAAAGCTTCTTCTATTCCATCCACAACCATTTGACCATTTGAACTACGATAATACAGTGAAACGTTTTGTGGCGGTAACGTTAAAATTACAAGGTCATCCGGGCGGTTATTTGTACTCTAAAGATAATGAGTGCGAAAGAAACTCAGGATGAAGTAGGTATGGTTGCATCCATCATCAAAATAAGCACTCATCAGTTATTGTTTTTTTACATTAATTATCGAATTTTAGCTGAACTGAAAGCAACGCTGCCATTTCAAATAAGCACACAATCTCCCTATTTCGGGGAAAATCGTGTGCACTTTGGGGAAACAGCTATAGGAAGCTTTTGGGGAAACCCTAAGGTGTATCCGAAATGGGGAGATTGTGTGTGTTTGCTCAGAGAAACTCAGGCTAAAAATGTCATTGTTGGTTTTCATTAAATGAGTGTGAAATGTGAACTGGATGATTTTAATCTTGTTCGTGCATCTAACCTGTAACGTGAGCAACACGTTTATTTCCTTAGGACAGTTATGATTCAGATAATTCACATCTAATTTCACGGTGTTTACAAATTTTGTGTCTAGAAAACAAAGACCTGATGTAGGTTTAAGTAATTTAATCGAAAGGTCGGGGATTTGCAAAATCACACCACATATTCATACATCAGCTAGCTTTGTCTCCAGGTCATGTGTCTAAAAACCTAACTGATGAAAATGTTTCACGCTGTTCAAAAACTTCGATACACCGTAATCACTGGCATATGTATGTGCTAAGGTTGGTTTGTAGACATTGGATAAGTTGTTGTGATCTATTCGTTCATTAGCCTTACGCCTCTAGAGGTCGTTCATTATTATGCTTCCATTACAAATTGATATCGAGCATAACCAGTACACCTGTTTTGTCGTGGTTGTCCTTGATAAGCTCCTAATCATCACGAACTGCAATATTGACCAATGGAATATTTTCTCAAATATTTGGAAGATGATCTGTCTCCAAGCTTTCTTTTTGTTTCTGCTTCTGAATAAGCTGAAGTGTCTGTTTGTCAGGTTTCTTATACTGAATGGTTAGTCATATCCAGTGTTAAATCTGATACTAGTATATCTAATCGAGTTGCCACATCGCACCAGCACAGTGAGATGAAATTGTCGAGAGTAGTGAAAGCAGCAACATTATCAGTAGTAGTCAAACAAATTAGCAATAAAAATGTGATCCAAGGAAAAAAAGTAGCTTACATACTATAAGGTAATTTTAAAACTCAGGATTTAAATGCGAGCAAAATATAAATGCAACTCAACCATTGCAACCAATTTTGAGCCACGTCACCAAGCACTTTTTGTTTACGGTAATTGCATGTACTTCAACAAGGTGATCTGCACCCACCGGTATTCCACAAATTTATCATAGCTGTGCAATGAATCAGAGTCAGCAGAGCAAATAGTTACTGATTTATACATGACTTCTCTAATTTTCAGAGTATGAGGTGATGATTTTTTGAGAAGTATACATAATCAGTGAATTAGTTTCAGACATGGTCTTAAAATACTAAACTATCCAACGTTCAAGATCTTTTCAAGAAGACCATAATCAAAGCAATAAAACTTGATTCGGCATAAGTGTTTTTCATTCGACTTCGCATAGTCCAATTTTGCGCTAGTTTGAGCAACTGACTTGTATCATTATATCTGATTCATGAAACCGGCTTGAAGACGAGTACATAAATATTTACTTTGTTATCAAACTACATCTAATTTTATTTATCGCCCCTAAATGCCCTGATATGGCTGAGAGTTCGCTCTCCCTCTTCAAATGCTCTCACATGGCCACGCGTATATAGCTTCTTACAGGGAAATCATACTTACTTCTTTCTCGCACAACGAGTGTAGTTTACGAAAATGAGAGGACGAAAAGCGAATGTCAGGCATTGGCTTTAACCGGCTTGGTGGACATGGAGAGTCCACCTAGGGGAGTTGGAAAACCCTTATTCCAAACCAGTGGTGCACATGGACTCTGCTTCGGTTTAGGCATCCGGGCAGTATCACAGCCCTCACACATATCAAATGAAATCTGTGTGACGTCTATGTATTAGGTGCCTCCTTGTACCAATATCTATGTGTTAAAATAAAATCATTTTATTTATCTGATACACAATTGTAATCTTCAAAAAGAATTTTCTTCATTATGCATATTTTCAGATTGGGAAATGACTCATAACTGTATTCACAAATTATTATGTGGTGTTCATTCAACTGAAGAGATTAAACATTCCATTGAAAATCTATTCAACAAGTTTTTACTTTCGAAATCTGACAGTTCAAGTATACATATATATATATATCATTTTAATGATAACAATAAGTTTATAGATTCTTCCAAAGGGAGTATTTTACCTTTATGGAATTAAATCCATATAGACGATATTGCATTATACAAGTATGTTATTAAATAGAGATAGTTTTCGATTGTTTTAAAACATAATAGTTTATTCTTTTATTAGATCTAAATTACATTTCCGAACGTGTTTTAGTCATTTTGTCCAATAATGATCTGGATCATGTAAATTGGTCTCACATTCTTCAACTGATATCTGTTATGATTACATGTATTAAAGGAGGTGTATCCACTGTTAAATGTAAGTTTGTTTCATGTAATCCATGTATATATTTATATATTTGTATATGCAGAATGGTGACTTAATTAATAAATTACAAGTAAACTATGATGTTTAATGTCTGAGTTATTGAAATATCCTGTTTTCAACAATCATCAACAGGTTCATATACTTCTCTCCTTCTCTCTCTCTTTTTGCTTCGGTCTAAACAACTGAATGCTTGTATACACACAAAATATGATACAAATGCTAATATCTAAGTTTGTAATTAGTTGTTAAGTCACAATTTACTAAATTATTTTATTTTACAAAAGTATAAGGGGAAAGTGCTTTCTGATAAAAAGTAAAGTAAATTTTATAGGATTTCAGAATAGAATTACATTGGTTTAAGTCTTCTCATACTACTTTAGAATAATGGGGATGGACTGAATAATATAAAGAGTGAAGCAGTTAAACTCGTAGTAATAGTAATATCAATGACACAAAGAAGGATCAAATATAGTGAATATCATTTTTATTAAAAGGATGAGAATCACGAACTAAAGTATTACGCGTCGTGGTAATCGGTGTTCAGGAGTACGTAATACGTGGCCCAACCATCTCAGTCGATGAAGATTCACAACCTCATCAACTGATTTGCCATCATTTCCTAATACCTTACATCTAACCTCACTATCACTTGTCCGGTGATCCTAGCAGTTAGGTGATCAAAAATGCTTATACAGAGTATAATTTTCGTTAGAGTTACAAATGATTGATCATGTTACGTATCAGACAATGCTCAAGCCTACAAGCTCCACATGTATATTTTTTTCATTCTGCAAGTTACAGTAAGGCTTAGTGGTGGGGATTTGAATTCCACTGGGTGGATCATTTCCTTCAATATCTCACTTGCGCCTTGATGATGTGTGCCGACTAACACAAAGCCTGTGTTCATGACAAACTAAAGCAATAGAGATATAGATAAGTTTACCGAAAAATTTGTCGTAGAAGGAGACAGTTATACTTACTCATTCGCTAAGGTGCGCCGTCATCAATAATTGTGTCCAATGATATCTTAGGGCAGATCCCAAAACTTTATTAACCTTTGTAAACTTGAGTCACTTGTGACGTGGGTAAGATTTCCATCTCCCAATCAAAGAGCTAGCATATTTCTCAGGATTTCTTTTCATGTAACTGTATGGCTGTGAAACGTAGTATTGTAAATGTGAAAATATTAGAAGCTACAGGTTTACGAACATATGCATATTCAAAGTATTGCTTTTGTATGGTTAGAAAGCTGAGGGAGCAATGTTTAGGCAAAGATAAGGAACTTGGAAAAGCCGACAAATCGGTTGACAAGGTTGCAAATCTTGATCAACTGAAGTGATTAAGACACTACCTGGTTGTCTTCAGTCCGATAACCTCAATCAATGGTTAGAGACGTTGAGTCACATAGCTCAGACTCGATCACAACAGTACAGATGCACTTACTATGTTTTACTCTAGATCACGAATTTTAGTATCCCTCACTACTTACTATAACATTTTGCCATTTTCCAACCATAGTCTTGATCTCCAATGTTTCTCATTATTATTATTCCTTTCCAGTTATGATTCATCAACTTCTATTGTCATTATTCAATTCAAATATGAATTATATCAACAATGATAATGTTGATTTAGATTGTTTACATTTATTAGATGATGTATTTATTCATAAAAGTCAATTGGATGTTTTAAAATCAAACAAACATGATAAACAATTACTGCTAGGAGTTTTATTAATTGCACGTCAATTATGCTCAGAAGATAATCGATTAACTGGGATAAATTATAAACAATGGTGGATGGAAACGTTTTCTAATCCATTACTATCAACACATAATAATAATACACAGAATGTTCTTTCATCACGTTGTGCTGTAGTTTATTTTTGTGATTTACTCATTGAACTATTACCTTGGGAAACAGATCCAAAATTTCTACAAATTCAAGTCAACACTCGACCGAATTGGTTTAATCCTGTAAAACGTTCAATGAATAATAATCGAATCAAAATTCATACTGACAAAATTCGTGTAAAACCGACTGAAGTAATTATGTCATTCAATGAAGATGAGTTAATAATGCCGATTGATTTGGAATGTACAAATATGATAACTGATAATCATAATTATAATACCTACATAGAATCTTGTATAAATCGATGGAATGATTATTGTGAAATTGCACAAGGAAGGTTAGCTGAATTAAGGGTAAGATCGAATACTTGTTGGTTAGATGATACAATGATTATGTATGTTAATCACGTTAGCACTTATCCTTTCAAATGTACTAGACCTCTACAAGGTATTATGAGTTAAAATGGTTTAGCTAATAATAAACTGGAATATTTTATATTGCATATGAGAACTGATCAATAACTGGACCTGGGCATTGTTGATTGTTGGGACAAACGAACTGTAATAATGATTGGTCTTGTTTTGTCATACTTCCAATTTCATTTTGGCAATTAAAATATTCCTATCCTATATTATGTTTTAATAAACTAAACCTCGGGATTTCAATGACAGTTTCGATTGGTTATTTGTTTGTCTTTATTTCAATCCTTATCAAATGCTTGTCAGTCAGTCAGCTACAACATGGGACCAGGCGCATATATGCATTGGTCCATATTGCTATACCGCGCAGTATACTTGTCCTTTAATTGATAGACGGATATCTTGGCTTCGCCATAGGTGACGTATGTTGGCGAAAGACAAACGAGCTTTTTGAATCCGTGCTGAGATTTCGTCCGACGGCAACCCATTAAGGATGATCAAACCTGTAGTAAACAATCGTTGCACAGATTACACATCATTTGCTAATCAAGATTAAATTGTTTAGTTTTTAGTTCTGATAAAAGCTTATCGATCAAAGATGTTTATACAGAGTACGTTCTTCGTTAAAGTTACAAATGATCGATCATGTTAAGTATCAGACAATGCTCAAGCGTACAAGCTCCACATGTGTATTTTTTCATTCCTTAAGTTTCGATGAGGCTTAGTGGTGCGGATTTGAATTCCACTGGGTGGATCATTTTTATCAATATCTCACTTACCCCTTCATAATTAGTGCCGACTAACACAAAGCCTGTGTTCAGGGTTTCCTACCAAATGCCCTCAATCATTATCAGTAAATTTTGATGTGTATCTGTATATTACTGCATTGTGGTAACTTAAATCAATAAATAAGATTTTTTGAAATTTCTTCCAGGAACACTGTTGTGCAACAAAAATGGTCACAACGGATAAAAAAATCTTTGATTTTGCAGATGCTTATACTACTCCAGGATGGAGTGATGTTCTAAATTGGCTAAATGAAATCGCGACACAACGTACTGTTGATCATTGTAGTGGTGATATTTCTAAATGTCGATTACCGTCCGAATGGAATGAAGTAAATCTGTTTCGGTAAGTTCTTGCAACCGAATTCTATGTTTTATCATTTATACTAAAGTATTTCGACGGTTTCGCCGACAGCGTATTTCGATTAATTGGGTATTATGACTTTCCATATTGACCAATCAAAACAGAGAACCTTTTTACTTTTTGTAAAGTACGTTCTTAATTCCAAGCATGTGTAGAGAATCTCATTCTACTCAAATCAAAACTCGACTTTCACTTGTAATGTTACAGACTTTAACCACACCTTATCTACTTGAGTTTAGTTCGATTGTAGCTGCCACGTTTAAGTCTTGGTCTGATTTAACTATTGTTGAGATTTGACTGAACTATATTGGCTAGAATATTTATTCCTTTGTATCCTACTATTCCAGTCTGGTCGATTGGAATGTGATAATACTAGAAAAAGCTGCTTAACGTCCGAAGGTAAAATCGTACGGCTAACTATACTGGGGAGTGGTGGCAATAAAACAGTTTTCTCAGACGAACAGTGTCTACAGTGATGCTGTCTTCTTACAGCTGGAGGAGAGGATTAGAGAAAATCAACCCTTAAAATATCACACTTCACCTTGCCCCATGGATCTTTGTATTCGATCGTAAGACTTTGAAAGTTAGAGCTAACACATCAAGAACTACTCATAAAAAGTACTGTATAAATCATATTAAGCGTTGCCTCTCAAGCACTGCGGTCACAACCAGAGGTAGCTAAGTCAGATAACTCAAGCAGAAGTACTTTTCCACTGTATGAGCAGCCGAGAAGTGTCAGCTGTCCCCCTGCACTTCTAACAGTACCTCTCGATTTCGTTTAAGCTCGTTGTAGTTGGTGTCTGTAGCTCTCGCATTATAAAAGCGTGACAAAGTTAAACAGATGTGTACTTGTTTACCTAGTTCACTTAGTCAGTTACGACGTAGAACCAGGCATATATATGCATTGGTTCAAGTTGCTATACCTCATTAGCACAACAAGGTGAACACCGAATTCATAGAAGCAGTTACTATAATGATGGTAAAAGAACAATTCATATGAGGATATGAGTTTATTTAGTTTCTTAATATTTTGTTTTTTCACCAAGCATATACCAGTTATTGTCTCATCAGTGATATTTTTAGAAAACTGGTTAGCTGTTTCAACCTTTGCATAGTGTTTCTCTTTTAATAAGTAGAAATTTAATGGGAAATACTTATATGCTATTGTTCAGTTTATTACTTGAGTACGACTAATACGACGTACGACTTCAGTACTTGAACGTGTTAAACTCTCAATCTCCGAGTTAAAAGGCAGAAAAAAACAGAAGAGTTTGCTGAAGTAAGCGTCTAAACGTGCAGAAAAATAGGTGTATATATAGTTTTTGCTATAGGTTGTAACATCATTGTAATCTAGCTAATCTGCAAGCCGGAAGTTTATGCAATTTTTCTATCACAGCAAACCACGTTGATATTCCAGGAGACTCGATTGGACTGTGATTGAATGGAACCTCCTCGGCCCCCATAGAGCCTCTGGAGGCTTCGTCGCACCTTCTTGGAGCTCTCCCTAAAATCATTAGATTTTCCAATTAGACATCTACTACTCACATTAGGTAGGTATTTCATTGCGGATGCAGAGTCAAATGAATTGTTATTACTTATCTGTACATGCTATGTTGAGTGTAGAACCATTTAGTTGTAACACACGTAAGAAGCTTAGTATAATGTCACCAATGATCGCACCACACAAGAATACAATGTGCACTTGCAAAGTATGGGTTCGCTGTATCGATTGGGATCTACACTTTTGTACAAAGACTGTGTTATGGCTTTCACCTTTGTCATTTATCACATGACAAAATCTCTAATCAGAAGATCGATTTCCATGGCCCTGATTCAACTATGAATCCTTATTGGTCCTTAATATAGTAAGTCCTTGACTGACCCATCCTGTTCAGTCCAGAACACATATATTAGCCTTCACTGTATGAATCGTATACTTCAGACATATTTAGTTTTATACATACCTCCAAATGCCCTGGTACGGCCGAGAGTGGGGAGAGTCCGCTCTCTCTCTCGAAATGCTCTCACATGGCAACGCGTATATAGCCTCTGCCAGGAAATTCCTACCCACTGCATTCTCGTACGAGTGTTGTTTACGAAAATGAGAGGACGAAAAGCTAATGTCCGGTGCTTTAACCGGCTTGGTGGATATAGAGAATCCACCTAGGGGAGTTGGAAAACCCTGATTCCAAACCAATGGTGCACATGGGCTCCAGTATCCTGAAGGAGCAAATGGCGTATTAACCAATCGTTGGTCACCGGCTACCATGGGACTGTATCTCCTTATGTTGCTCCACTGCTTTGTGGATCAGACTTTCAGGTCGAAGGCTCCGAGTGTGGCCCCCTAAGGAAACCACCTGCTTTGGTTTGGGCATCCGGGCAGTATCACAGCCCTCACACATACCAAATGAGACCTGTGTGTGCATATGTATTTGGTGTATCCTTGTACCAATATCTATGTGTTAAAATAAATAAATAAACAGAACGAGACTTCGTCAGACCATAAACTGAGACCGAAGGTCATGGGTTCGAATCCTGCGCTCGGGACCGTGGATGCGTACTTCCAAGAAGTCCTGTGCTACGACGAAACGTCTGTCCAGTGCTTCCAGGTTGTCAGTGGTGGTCTAACATTGATCGGCTCATGGTCTCAATCAAAACTCGACACCCTCCACAACCCTATACTGATGAAACGAAGAAATAATTACACAAGATCAAGCCAAAACTGGATGTGAGTACGGGAGATGATAACTAATAAATTGGGAATGAATTAAGAATGGTAGATCGGAGGACAGTAGCTAATAGGTCAAATGAAGGATTATAACAAAAGGAATATGAATACACATATAGTCTAGATACTTAGTAATTGTCCAATAAGAATGTATGTAATAATAGTCCATAAATAATCCGTAGCAGTTTCCATTCACTCATCCTTCATTCGAATGTAATAGATTGCTTAAACTAAAATTAGGGGTAGCTAAATCAAGAAATCTTATAAATTTATAAATTTTGGTCGCAGCTGTTTAAGGAGATACAGACATTCCGGTTTGAATGCTTTAGATTTCCCTAACTGATGCATGAAAATCCTTAGGTATGATGACTCGAAATTAGTTACAGCGTTACAGTGACCAGTTTTAGTAATGCAGTGTATTTGTGAGTCAAATGGTCCAGTGGTAAAGTTTATGGGCGATGTGGGTCCAAACTCTAAAAGAGTAGTAATATGTTGAGGTTTGCAAATACTCATTGACTTTGAATAGCCAGTGCTTCTCATCGAATATCTCCAACTGTCTACCATCATGCTAGATATTTGGCATTGTTCAGTAACTGTAGTCTGTTGATCATATTTCAACTTAATCAATGGAGTTTTATCAAAACTAAAGATTAAACAACCATAAAATTATAAAGTGACCACCCAATACAAAAGTTAACTATTTTATTGTTTTATCGCTTTGTTGTTGGGGATGGGTGACAACAGTCCACGTTGGCTTCGATCTACACTGATTCCAGCTTTATTAAATGCACCTGAAATAGAACATTTATCAGACGAGTTAAAATTTGCACGTGAACAATTATTACAGGGGATACGTTCAGCTGGTCTATCACATTTATTGAATTATACAAAAGGAAAAACCTCAACCACAAAGACGATTACAAAAACAACGACAACAACCAAGAGAAAGAAGAAACGGCCAACTTGTACTACACAACTATCTTCAACATCTAAACAATACAGAATGCCCAATAAAAGCGGATTGTACAATCAAACAAATAAAATTTAATAGCCGTACAATTATTATTATTATTATTATTATTATTATTATTATTATTATTATTATTATTATTATTATTATTTATACGAATATTCGTCAAGATTAGAACGAATAATTTGACAGTAATTGAGCGCCGAGTATAGAGAAGTCATTATATGTGAAAATTATATTTGAAATATTCTCAACGATTGAAATATAACTAATTTCAACGTTTCGTCCAGCTAACTTGTCTGGACTTCTTCAGGGTAATAATCAAAATCAAAATTATCAAAGACATATATAGCTTTTAACAATCGGGATTATACTGTATTAAACCAATCATATTTGGATGTTGATTTTTTGTAAAATAGGATCAAATGAGTCAGTTAACTACAAATCATGTGAAGAGTTCAACTACATAGAAATAATTAACTGAGTAACAAATCGTATGTGTGTGAGTGTGCAGGTATGTATGTATGTGTAAGAGATTGATATAAAGGAATAAATAATAACGTTCAAGTTCAAGGATGAAAACTTGATAATGAAAGATCGATGTGCATGTCAAAACATAAATTGTATTGTTTAAAAAGCTCATTGAATTCTTTCAAAATAATAACGATGCATGTGATATTAGAAACAGGTTTAAACAAGAAATAGGTTCCAAATTTACTTGTCAAACGAAATTTGCCATGTAGTTGCCAGTTGAATACCATCTTTTCGGTTCAGGCTGTTCTTGTTCGCCCATATATGCAGTGCTTCTGCTGTCAATCTTTCTTTATGGGTGTTAAAACCTTTCTGAAGTATTTTGGTCCCTTCGAAATTAATCTTGTGCCCTGTTTCTAACGCATGTAACGCTATTGCTGACTTGTTTTCAAGTTTCTTTAAATCGACCGAGGATTTTGGAACATTTTTCAAGCATTGTTTGTGTTCCTTCAATCTTACATTCAGTTGCCTGGATGTTTCTCCAATATAGGTAGCATTACAGTCATGACAGCGAATCTCATACACATTGTTCTGTTATTCTTCCTTTGCTAATTTGTCCTTAACTTTCACTAATGTCGATCTTAATGTGTTATTCGCTCTAAAATACACTCTTATATCATGTTTGTTTAGAATCCGTTTGATTTCTTCTGATGTTTCACTACGGTAAGGTATGACTACGGTGTACTTCCATTCTTTTCGTATACTTTCTAGTTTAGGTTTTCTTTCATTTTTAATAATCTTCTTCAAAAACCTTTTTGGGTAGTTGTTATCCCTAAGAGTAGAAAATACTTTATTTAATTCGGTTCTTTGGTCTTCCTTGTCTGTAACAATCTTAGTACTTCTGTTCATTAGATTTTTCACTACATTAATTTTCGTGCTCTGTGAATGGGCTGAATTAAAATCCAAGTATCTCTCGGAATGTGTTGATTTTCTGTAAACATTTATTTTTAACTTCTTATTATTGTGTCGACGTTCAACCAAACAATCTAGAAATGCTAGTTTGTGGTCAACTGATTCTAATTCCTTAGTTAGTTTAATGTTTTCAGAAATGCTGTTTGCATTGTTAAATAGTTCTTCCATACTATCCCGTTTATTGATAATAAAAATATCGTCTACATACCTTAACCATAACTTTGGTGGGCATAAACTCTTTGTGATTGCACTAGTTTCTAGGGAATGCATGAATAAATTCGCTACAATCGGAGAAACTGGTGAGCCCATTGCTATACCCTTATTCTGTCTGTAAAGTTGACCTCGAAATATAAGGTAGATCTTAAACATAATTCTAAGCATTTTATAACCTCTGATGGATCTAATGGGCATCGTAAATTCAAATCTAAATCAGATTCTAAACAATCATTGATAATTAAAAAACCTTGGTAATGACACCTACAATCATTGATAATATCTATTGCTCGACTGATAGGTACATTAGTGAATAAGGAAGATACATCAAAACTTGCCATTATTTTGTCTTCTTCTATATCGATGATATCAATTAAATTCTTGAATTCCATAGAGTTTTTAATTCCATGATTAATCCGCTTTTCATATGGTTTGAGAATCTTAGCTAAATATTTAGCTAGATTGTAAGTCGGTGAGTTTGTATAGTCTACCACTGGTCTTAGTGGAGTATTATTCTTGTGGATCTTTGATAGTCCATATAATCTGCATGGGTTACAACTCTTTGGATATAACATAAACCATAAGGACGATCCTAGCTTAACTTTTAATGATTGTAAGAGTTTGCTAGTTTCTGCCTTGAGTTTGTTAAGAGTTGTTCTACTTTTTGCTTCTTTGATTTTTTCATATGGACCCTCTTGTAGAGATGTTCATTGGCTTTCTTCTCATACTCTGTTTTATTCATAATAACTGTAATATTACCTTTATCTGCTCTCGTTATTATTATCGTTTTGTCCTCTCTCAGCTGTTTTAGTGCGTAATATTCATTTTTATTTATGTTAGGGTTGTGAGGTTTCTGATGTAATAATGTGTTCATTATTTTGTTCCTCAGTTCATTCGCTGTATCATTCGGGAGTATATTCAGCGCTGGTTCTACTGTTGGTATAACATTGAAAGGTGTCAATTTATGTCTATTTATATTGTAGTTGAGACCCTTTGTAAGTAACGATATTTCATGTGGGTTGAGAGGTCTACCCGATAAATTAACAATTATTTTATTCATATCATGTGTGTTGGACCTATTTTCCGTCTGTTTAACTTTGGTGTTTGATGAATGTTTCAATAGTTTTTCAAACTTCCTAATTTGTCGTTTTGATGATTGATAATAAAATTGTTCTCTACGTTTGAAAAATTCAGTTATATCTGATTTTATTTCGTTCGGTGCGATAACTGACAATATGTCATCAATATTGCAAATCCTTGAACGTAGTGCCTCCAAAATCCTCGGTCGATTTAACTTGAAAACAAGTCAGCGATAGCGTTACATGCGTTAGAAACAGGGCGCAAGATTAATTTCGAAGGGACCAAAATACTTCAGAAAGGTTTTAACACCCATAAAGAAAGATTGACAGCAGAAGCACTGCATATATGGGCGAACAAGAACAGCCTGAACCGAAAAGATGGTATTCAACTGGCAACTACATGGCAAATTTCGTTTGACAAGTAAATTTGGAACCTATTTCTTGTTTAAACCTGTTTCTAATATCACATGCATCGTTATTATTTTGAAAGAATTCAATGAGCTTTTTAAACAATACAATTTATGTTTTGACATGCACATCGATCTTTCATTATCAAGTTTTCATCCTTGAACTTGAACGTTATTATTTATTCCTTCATATCAATCTCTTACACATACATACATACCTGCACACTCACACACATACGATTTGTTACTCAGTTAATTATTTCTATGTAGTTGAACTCTTCACATGATTTGTAGTTAACTGACTCATTTGATCCTATTTTACAAAAAATCAACATCCAAATATGATTGGTTTAATACAGTATAATCCCGATTGTTAAAAGCTATATATGTCTTTGATAATTTTGATTTTGATTATTACCCTGAAGAAGTCCAGACAAGTTAGCTGGACGAAACGTTGAAATTAGTTATATTTCAATCGTTGAGAATATTTCAAATATAATTTTCACATATATTATTATTATTATTATTATTATTATTATTATTATTATTATTATTATTATTATTATAATGAATAGAACAGATACAATATACTGAAGGAATTTGAAAAAGCTAACTAGTGAATGCAACTGTATGCCATTGAGATAAGTTTCTTTAATGGTAATGTCACATCGTGATATCTCCATTCATAGATCAGAATTAGCTGGCAAATCCTCTTTCAACTGAAAACTTGCATTTAACACATGTGATTTCATAAACTGATTCCATCTCTGCATTACACCGCCCATCACTCTCTTCCAACCACTTCTACTACTCTGGGATCTGTCTTAGAATTTTTATCTCAATGTACTAATGGCATGTAGTAACCTGAACTGATGTATACACATATACCAGGTTCTGTGTTGTATATAAGTGACTTATTGGTTGACCTACTCCGAATCCAGATAACATTGAGCTTTAGGACAATCAGTGGTGGTTAGGAATATGTAACACAGGTCCGGACCACTTAAATAGTGAGTCGTTGTGTAAGTTGACCATTTACAGCGAATAATATATATAGCATTACATATTTGGTGGTTCCACTATCACTTCTATCTATCTATATTAAATAAACAAAATTACGCTGAATGAACCTTGATATGAACTCAGTTAACTGACAGTGTTTAGTAGTTTGTTATAGCTGAGAGTATTTGGTGACTATGTATACTTCAACAATAAGAGTAATACTGTAAAAATGTAAGATATATCACTGAGATCGTTTATTGTCAGTATAGGGTTGTGGAATTTCATTAAATTCGCGAACCGATCAGAGTTAGGCAATCACTGGAGATTTGGAAGCACTGGATGACCGTTTATTTCTTAGTATGGGCTTCTCAGCATTGCACATCCACTAATCTGCAAAGAAGTCATACATTATTTATTGTGTAATAAGTGAGCTTGCATTGTTGCACTGATGTACCGGTGTGATTTGACAACTGGAATTGGTGCACATATGTGTCAGGTTCCAAGTTGCACTTCAGTGACGGGTTACCGTGAATATACAAAACAAAGTCGATTCGTCAAATATGTTTCTTTATAAAACAGCTATAGATAAACATGTATTTATGTACACATACTTAGAACAATGTGGTCATATTCTTCAGATATTGTATATTCTATTGCATTTAATTAATGTATTTCTATGAGCTTGAGATAGATAGAAAACAGTGTCCACTTTTACTAAAATTGGAAACTTGTATGATAGAAAGTTGTCCATTCATCATCACCATTCATTTTTTAATTAACTTAAGTAAACATTCTCTGACGGCTGTTTAAATTCAACTTAATTATCACAGATCATCAACCGATGTTTTTCAAATACCCAACGTTGTAACCATTGAATTGGCCAATAAAATATAATCCATATACCAATGTAAAAGATATGCCCATTTTAATCTAT